TTATGGTTGCAGAGATGACATCACTGGGCATCAACAGTTTTTATCTGTTACATTAACATTGTTCTGCAATCAGGTTTTTAAGAGTGGCTATTACAACACCTAATATTGCAAAATAAAGTGACATGCTTAAACTATTCATAGACACTGTTTAATATGTAATTGCCCTTATGTAGCCTTTTCTACTGACAGAGTGTAACTCCTCAAAGCTCCTGATACTGCAAGGAATACTGATTTTGTTCTTTTGGAAAAAAGTAGTTGTAGGTATTCTGTACAGTTAAATGTTTCAAAATCTGAATATTACTTTCTGGTTCTTGTTTGAAAATTCCATACTGATGATCTGTACACACAAAGTTGTAATCAGTTAGTAATGCTAGTTAGTGATAACAATGTTTGATGAGTTATATTGAGGTCAACAATGGTCAGCGTCTTTATTATAAAGATAATTATAGCTTTCAATCTCAATGTTGACATCTGACTCAACACAGAATGTGTGAAAACTGTGAAAATCAGTTAAACCATGATGGGCTAGAAAGTTTCAGAACAGCTGAGTCTGACACAGTGAATGTTTTGGCTGTGTCTCTGATTGATTTATTCTGATTTTCAGGCTCCAGATGGCCTGCTTTACCAGGACTGGCACAGCTGTGACCCTGAAGTTGAGTGAAAACAGCACAGATTGCACATGCAAATGCCACATCTAGAATTCTAGAATCAACTTCAATTATTTGTGGCCCCCTGAAATAGGGCAACTGTGTATTCTGCATTTTAACCTCAATGATTACTTGATTTGAAATCCAGTGTGCGGAGCCGAAGTACCTCAAAACTGTTCAATTTGATCATTTGATCCCTTAGTTACTGTTGGTACACCAATCAGGCATAACATTTATGACCACCTCCTTGTTTCTATGCTCATTGTCCATTTTATCAGCTCCACTTACTATATAGGTGCACTTTGTAGTTCTACAATTACAGACTGTAGTCCATCTGTTTCTCTGCATACTTTGTTAGCCCCCTTTTGCTCTGTTCTTCAGTGGTCAGGACCCTCATGGACCCTCACAGAGCAGGTACTATTTGGGTGGTGGATCATTCTCAGCACTGCAGTAACACTGACATAGTGGTGGTGGTGTGTTTGTGTGTTGTGCTGGTACGAGTGGATCAGACACAGCAGTGCTGCTGGAGTTTTAAAACACTATGTCCACTCACTGTCCACTCTATCAGACACTCTTACCTTGTCAGTCCACCTTGTAGATGCAAAGTCAGAGACGATAGCTCATCTGCTCCTGCACAGTTTGTGTTGGTCATCCTCTAGTCCTTCATCGGTGGTCACAGGACACTGCCCACAGGACACTGTTGACTGGATATTTTTGGTTGGTGGACTATTCTCAGTCCAGCAGTGACACTGAGGTGTTTAAAAGCTCCAGCAGCACTGCTGTGTCTGATCCACTAAGACCAGCGCAACACACACCAACACACCACCACCACATCAGTGTTACTGCAGTGCTGAGAATGATCCACCACCCAAATAGTACCTGCTCTGTGAGGGTCCATGAGGGTCCTGACCACTGAAGAACAGAGCAAAAGGGGGCTAACAAAGTATGCAAAGAAACAGATGGACTACAGTCTGTAATTGTAGAACTACAAAGTGCACCTATATAGTAAGTGGAGCTGATAAAATGGACAATGAGTGTAGAAACAAGGAGGTGGTCATAATGTTATGCCTGATCAGTGTATATCTGTCAAACTTTCAGTTCAGGCCACCTACATCTGTACACTTGTGACTAAAATGCTCAGTAGCACAAAGGAAACTTTAGAAGCACTCAAAATATTTCTTTATTCAGGACAATTTAAATGAAACATAGTTTATTTTAGAGTATTTTGGTGAAGTTGCCAGTCTTATGATGTCAGTTCAGTGTGCAGCAGTATTAGCTTGCATGTATCACATCAGTCATATTTCAGCTCGTAAAGAGCCTCATAATTCAGTGGATCAGGCAACGTTCATGGAGAATCTGTCTGTACGGCAAAATGTAGCCTGCCTGGAGTCGGCGAAGGTCTTGTCAGCAGCTTCACGGTGCACAGATGTTACCTGCAGTCAGAGCTGGGGAGGAGTCAAATGAGTCACCAAAGACAGCATGGATGGAAGAGCTGACAGAACTGATCTGAGGGCAGACTGTAACCACAGAAATACAACGAGTGGCACAGGGCTGCCAGTGCTGGATGAGCGGCTAGCCGGGACATCTGGCTACGGCTTGTCCGTTGGGGATTACAGGGAGCTGGACACTGCAGGCCCCTCCATACACATCCCACATGTCCCAGATGAATTCTCCCCTAGCAAAAAAGAACAGCACAGACAGTGGACAAACAGTGGCTGTGGTGGGGCAAGTGTCCATATCAGACCTCTGCCACATTTCCAGCGACATTAAAAGGGGTTCCATGCACTGCTCTGGTGGACATGGAGTCGACAGTCAGAGTGGCCTGGCCAGAAGTGGCACCTGCAGGTTTCGAGCTGGAAGACACGGCAGTCCATCTCTGCACAGTGACCAGTGAACTAACACCGATGAGGGGAAGGGGATGGCTGACGCTGATAGTCGGGGGCAAGAAGATGCAACACTTAATCTGGATAGCTTAAGTTCAAGACATTCTGTGCCTGGACTTTTTCAGAAATAACAAGTGCAAAATGGACCTAGAGAGTGCCACATTGAGTTTCAGAGGTGGCCATGTGGTGACAATGAAGCCACTAGATGTCCAGTGCATAGTTGAACACACAGTGAAGCTAGTTGAAGGATCTCCTGAGGTGGGGTGTACTGTCATGTGTTCAGCTCTTCGTGATGGTGGAGTTGCTGAGCGTGGTGGATGGATCCCCAGGGGTCATGGGTGGCAGACACAAGTAGCACTCTCATCAGCATCAATGGCACAGAGGATGACAGAGAAAGTAGAGGGCGGCCGAGAGGAGTGCCAATGCTGCTGTTGTCACCCCCAGTAGTACCAGACTTGACTGTGAGCTGTGAGGAGTTCCACTGTGCCCAGGAGGAGGACGTGGAGCTGTACAATACTGTGACCAGTGCACAGCAAAGCAGTCGCACACCCTGCATAAGTCTCTCTGCTCTGGCACACTAATGGAGAGGATGTTATGGAGCTGGTGTTCACTTTCCTGCCAGGACCAGAGTAGAACAGAGCAGCTGGAGCGGCCCCCAGTTTGGTTCAAAGACTCTGCAGTCCTTGGGGGCAAGGACTTTTGTAAGGGGTGGGTAGTGTAATGTGTTCAAGAAATGCTTTTGCATGTTAGTTTTAGGTTATGTGCTTTCTGGTGTTTATTCACTGGGTTATCTTGCTAAGGACTCTTCTTGTGGGGGCGGGACTCTGGGGGCTGTATGTGTGTGTGAGTCGAAAGCTGAGAGAGCCAGCCTTAAGTTGGGTTGCGAATGAACTGTTAGCTGTGGCCAACTTTTATTGACGCTGAACACACAGAATGCTTTTATTCAGAAATGTGAGCACTGTACAGACCTGTTTAGTCTGACTTATTTATCAAGATAACCAAAGCCAAACTTAACTGATCCTAATATAGTTCTGTAACGTTAATTATCCCTCAAACATCATATTAAATGTGCATCAGCAAGTACAGTAACCTGGATAAAGTTTAGCTAACCTTTGAGCCAGCATTTTGACACATAATAGTTGTGCCACTGAACTGTGAATGTGGTGCTCCACATAGTTTAAAAAAACAAAAAACACCCTCCTGTAGATGATCAGGACAGTGTGTGTTTGAATTACCTATCATTCCTCATTAACATCCTTTAATCATGTCTTTAGCCTCATAATTCTGATTCATTTATTACCAGTTCCATTCTCTCACTGCAGCTTTGTCCCGAGTAGTTTTGTCTGAGTTATTGCTTTGCTTGGCTGAAAGACGTATCAATCATTGACTGCATTCAAAACCACATAGTACCATACAAAATAGTATGGCCAAAATAGTACACAATAGTACAGACATGTTCTCATTAGTATAATATCTATATATGTAATAGTTTGCGGTTTTGGACGCAGTCATTAACTTACGGACTGCACTGTATGCTGATTGTAGAATGCAATGTTAGACCTCACTGGAAAGTAGGACTATTGCAGATTCTGAAATGGAAGCACAGTAAGCACTACTGTCTCCATCTAGTGGCAAGATCGAATCAGAAATGTTAAAAAATGTGGCCTCTGTAGTCATATGGTGTATATAATATTGTCTTGATCCAAACAATTTATGACTAAACTAATTATTAAAAGAATGAACAAAAATAGTTTTTAATGAAGGCAAAGAAATTTGTGAATATACAAGCTTTTATGAAAATTTACTGTTTCATGAAGAAAGTTAGCTCCTTTCTTCATGCAGTTATTCTGGACTGGAAGTGGTTATGCTATAACAAAGCTATAACGGACAGTAAAATCCATCTAATACTGGGTTTAATGTATGCCCAAAGTATTCAGACAGCCGTCCTAATTAATTAATTTATCTAAGTTACACCCTTTGTTGTCACACATGTTCAGTTGCACAAACACAGCTTGTGTAATCTCCTCAGAAAAGCACTGCCAACAAAATGAGACACTCTGGAGCTGCCTATCATTGGCTAGAGAAGTATAAAGTTCCCCTTGAACTGGGCAGCAGTGTTCTCTGGAGTGATGGAGCACCACTGATTTCCAATGGTACGAGGTAGTTTATGGTATTTTATGGTGTTTATGACCCAGAACTAACATCAGTAGCTGACCTCACGTATGCTCTTGAGGCTGAATGCAATAAAATCCTCAAAGCAATGTTCCAAAATCTAGTATAAAGCTTTGCTAGAAGGGTAGAGGCTGTTACTGCAGCAAAGGGGACAAACTCCCTATTAATATCCTTGATTTTAGAAGAAATGAATGAAATATTTGGACATACAGTGTAGCTTCCATACATCTCTACATGAAAATAAAAATTGGAAAAATGAAAAAAGCTTTGATTTGTTTAAAGAAAAGCAGCACTCCTGTTCAGCTGTTCCATTTTTATTGCCAGAAACAGGCTCTTCTGGTAAGCCACACACTTTTCAACACCAGAAATAGTCAATTTAAAAATCAATTCAACACCCATTATCAAGAACAGACAGAGATTGTGCTATTACAGTTATCTAGCTGTGAAGTGCTTGATAAAGTCGCTGTAATGAATTGCTGTTGAGAAAAGCAGAGATGCAGCAGGTCAGCAGCACCAGGTAAAGTCTGTCCTCATGCCAGTCATTGTGCTTCCTCTGATTTTATTAGATAACGCTTCTCCACTCAGCTCCACCAGCTGCTTCTCTTCGACCTGCACACAGCCTGCACTTACATGACCTGGGCAAAGTGCATTCCCGGCTGAAAGCAATGGCAAATTTCGTTATCTTATCAGTCGTCGGAGGATTTTCCTTGTCAAGAATTGAGAAAGCATTAGTGACAGAGTCATCTTGTTTTAGTCAGACATACAGAGATTTGCATAAAACCCATAGCACAGTCACACCACTTGCTACGCATCAATGATTGCTATTAACGATATATTTTTATATTAAACTAGAGAATCTTAAGCTTAGCTCTTGATATGTGTCTTGCTATTGCTAAGAAGTTATGTATTTTGTTGTGCTCATGTTCAGCTAGTAAAATGATCAACATGATCAAAGAATCTGCATCAACAAAATCACTCAGACACTAGTAAGGCCAGCTATGATATAAATATCATACAGTAATTATAGGATATAAGTATTGCAATTTGAGATGCATTTCCTTTTCTCAGGCAAGAACTGTAATCACATTCCACATTGCATGTAAATGCAGGAACTCTTGTGAGTTCATGTGCTTTGCTGAATGAGGAGTATAGAGGAGTATATACTATGTTGTGTGGGAACTGAGAAGGACTAACATATTTACAGAAGATTAACACTCACTCCAGCAAAAAAAACTAGGAGAGATATCAGTACCGGAAAATTAGCACATATAATTCCATACCGCTGCTTTGCTAAACCTAAGCCGCATATAACTGAAGACAGAATAGTATGTTTCTGTGTATGTATATTATGGCAATGCAGACCAGTTATCTTGCAAATGATTAATTTCCTCTTGACAGTGTTCTGGAGATAAAGAAATCATGGACTTTATGGAGAGCCAACAGCTTGCTCTTACACAGATTACGCTAACCTCGTTGAGATGCACCCTTAGCATCTGTCCTCAAAGTGGTCACAGGTCAGCTGACAGGGAATGAGCCATGGAATGATGTTTCATTCATGAGCCAATCAAATTCCTCTCCAGAAATGACATCACCCTGCTTCCTGCTGAGCTCATTGCTGGGCACATAGTTAGTTCTGATTGCTTTGGTCTGATAGAATGGAGGACTGGATTGGTTAGTAGTGTATGAAAGGGACGCGTGTGCTTGGAGTCAGTAGTCCTGTTAATCAGAGAGTTGGGACAGTTGTTCTAGCTGGTTTCCGACAGCACAGCCATCACAGTGTCTGCCTGGGAGGCCAGCTTGGTGCTGGTGTGACTGGAGAGCTTGGACAGGGAGTCTTTCAGGTTCAGTGCCTCCATCTGCTCCTTCAGCATGCCTGAGAGAGAGAGACAGAGACAAATCACATTATCAGACACATCATTAGAGGTAGTTCCCACCAGACAGGCTAATTTGGATTTAGGATTTGAATGAGATTTTAGATATTGTCACTGTCCAAAAAATAAACCCAGCAGCTGTCCTTTACATTGTGTGAAACATTTTATGATGAAGGGACCAATATAAATGCTCCAAAAACACTTGAAATAAAACCTCTCTATATTAACTTACATTAAAAGCTAAGAATGTTTTGCCTTCTCCTGTAAAGTTATTGTTGTGCAAGGCAAACAACAATAACATTACAGGGTAAAGCGTAACATATTATCTTGTATTTCCATAGAATTTTCACAGATATGGAACAGGTACTATGAAAATTCACCCTGAATGCATTGTTTTGTACCATAAAAGTAATAGGTGTTTTTCAATTACTGAGCTGTATGTATAAGTCACAGAATTCACACCTATAGTATTTTATCCTCCCTCCTGGTAGCTGCACTCTCAGAAAAAAAGGTACAAAAGTGTCACTGGGGCAGTACCCCTCTTGTCACTGGGGTGGTAGCCTCAAGGGTACATCTCAGCACCTTAATCCATTGAAATAATATTTTCTCAGTTGTACTGACTCCACACACCCCGTCACGTCTCCAGGCTTTTTATTTTATTGTTCTGTTTTTAAAACATTATGAACAGGTAAAAATATGTACTTTTCCTCTGGGAAAAACTTATTTAAGGTGCATAATTGGACCTTAAAACCACTGTTGTGCCTTTGACGGTACATTTACATTGTTTGAACCTTGATGAACAAAAAATGTACCTGCACCTTTATTTCTAACAGTGTGTAGTACAGCACCATTTTGAACCATATGAATGACTCACAGTGAGTGCTAACCAGGCTACAGCCTCCTCATGGTTGGGTTAGTTGTAACGTAGTGTTAGAACTAGTCCTTCCCAAACTAAACTTTAAGAACAGTTTATATACTCCCAATGTCAATTCAGAATAGTTGATCTTTGGGAATTTCAACAGATTAATCCAAAACTTACTGCAAACATCATGCAAATAAAATCTATTTCTACTTCTACTAAATTTGCCACATTTTGCCTCCTTTCATCTATCTATCTATCTATCTATCTATCTATCTATCTATCTGTCTATCTATCTATCTATCTATCTATCTATCTATCTATCTATCTATCTGTCTATCTGTCCGTCCGTCCGTCCGTCCGTCAGTCCGTCCATCCCATTATATTGCTTGAGCCATTCATAGTTCATATTACAAATCTGACCTTCCTTGCATGAGCACTAAAGATAAAATCTGCAGTCGGCTCTTACTGCCATAAATCTATTGGAAAAGCTCTATAAAAGCTAGTCTAAACTGTACGTTTATTAGATCTATTTTTGAAACAGGCTTTCTGAACAAATGGTGCATCAAATGTCAAGTGATGTTGGATAAATGCCTGCATTACTGCTCCACTCCAGGGCTGCAAACTGCGATAAATTGTGAAACTGATGCTGGAAGAAGCATTTTATAAACAGGCATTTGTACTGTAAGATTCTGTAACATAATATCTGCAGTGTGCATGCAGTTTACGTAGGTGTATGTGAACTTTGAGTGCCTTGAGTTCAGAAAAAAACATCTAATGAACCTTCTCTTTTTCAGCAGCTTTTCATCTGAGAATGATATTGAGCTAAATAGCCTTTAGCAACCAGCCTACTTGCGAATATCCCTGAATTTCTAAATCCTGCTCAGATATTTCCGCTTCACCATGGCTTTAGAAAAGCCTTTCTTACACTTCAGTTTTATTTTTTGGATTGTGGAGGATGAATTAAGTGCTACTGACTGGAGTTGGCCAGGCTGCAGATGAGGCCCAATGTGCTAAATTTGACCTCCACTGCCCCGACAGGGTCGTCCAGCATCTTCTGCAGGGTGGGTAACAGATCAGCATCCCGGAACGGCTCCTGCACCGCCTCTGGGTAAGAAAAACATAGGGAGAGAATTAGTATGGGGTAAGAAAAGGAGACAACTGCAGCAATAAAAAAACAAACAGCTCACTTTCTGATTAACAGTTGACAGCAAGGGTTGCCATTGCTCAAGGAATTGGCTTTAACAAGCAGTGCTTAGAATTTGTAGAGTTTTTCATTTTTGAAAAGATGAAAATCAGAGAAAAATACAATAATAATTGGAAATCAGAAAAATACAATAATAATTGTGTCTTCTTTTACTGCTGTAGTTGAAAAATAACCACAAGCTTAGGACATTCTACACTGCAAGTCAAATGCAAACTAGCTAGCTAATTCAGTGAGCTGTAAAGGATGGTGGACAACCCCACCTCTAGGGTTGCGCTGTAAAATTCCTGGACGCTCAATCAGTGGCTTGACTTTTAACTAAATTCACTGGACAGGTAGCTATGCTCAGGATGCCATCTAATGTAGATAGATGTCAGTTCAGTTACAGAACCTCATCTCCTTGGGAATCGCATTGAAGTGCTGCCTTGTGGCTAAGCAGTGCACCATTCCCATCGTATTTAGCTACACTTAGCCACAAAACAAGCTTACCAAAGCACTATTAGTGGTTTCTATTCACTGATATTTATGTTAGAAATGTAAATGTAACTCTACCGATGTCTATTGCAGACGCGATGGCTAGAGCCACCAGAGCTTCATTCTGCATAATGACGTGTTCACTGGTTGCCATAGAGATGAGGTGTTGGACCCCATCTGCCTTGATGACAGAGTGGATGACTTCCTGTCAGGAGGAGAGAGAAGCACACTTCAAAGATACTGCAGAAGTCAGCTGTGGTAGAGAGGACTGTAATATGATTCTGAGAACCCCATCGGGGAGGTTTTTTGATATGTTAGTGTGGGAGGGGGCTGAGGTTTCTAAAAATAACACCACGATTGGTGGTTGCTGACTTACCAATTAATACAGAACGTTTGCCAAGCCATCGGGGGGCAGCTGGTAATTGAGCTGGTAACTGATTTTTTCTCTCATTAGTGTGTGTATGTGTGTGTTTGAGGAACTCACTGGGGAGCGACTGTGTCTGATAAGTGCTGCTAAAAGCCGATTGGCCTCTCCTCTGACTCCAGCATGATCTTTTGCTTCACACCACTCTGTAACCCGTGCCAACAGCACCTCATCCTTCCCCAACACTGTTGCAGCCTCCTCTAACACACACACACAGGACACACACACAAACAGAGAAGATACACACACAAGCATTAAGAGTGATCAATGTATTTAAGACTTTAAGAATTTTTTTCACCCACTACATTTACCAAGTGCAATCGTCACTTGAGTGAAACCAGTAATTTACAAGTCAGAGAAGCTGTTAGTGCTGGATATCTTCTATTGTATAGTACTGAGTAATGCTGGGTAGCTGCTATAAGCCTGTGAAGGTAATAATATAGGAAGAGGAAGGAACACAATGGTGAAGGATCCTTTTAACTGAAGCCTCATCTCTAGGAAGAGGAAAGATCAGATTCAGGCTAACTTGCAAAATAAACTTTGTATATTCATTAAAGCTTGTTCTGATAAATATGTTGCCCTAATATCACAGCTTTTTGAAGTTCATTTTTCATTCTAATCTAGGACTACCTCTGAAATAACAGTATTTGGAAAGCTTAAATTAGCAAAAACAACAAACACTGTGAGTCTCTTAACACATTTACATTGTGCTCCAAAAGTACTGAGAGTGGGAAATTGAAACTGTTAATCAGAGTAATATTTAAGTAATTGTAAAGTAGTTGTATAAAACCTGATTTTTTATCCCTGAGTTCCACTTACGATGTTTGTGTGGTTTACGTACCAAAAACAGTCACAATTCATTTGTATATGACCATTTTGCAACCTTGTTTTATCCTTAGAATTAAACAGGCCATGTTTGTTACTGTGCCTTTAAGACTGATATATGTTACTTCTGTTCTGATCGGTTGTTCTGTTACAAAAATTGATTATAATGGAGGGACGTACAAACGCTCTCGCCGGCACTCCATGCCTCCAAGCACTGTTCAATTTCTCAGTGCATCTCAGCTATGCAGCATTCTGCCATTACTATGTTACATTAAAGCCATATCAAGACTACAGAAAGCTACAGTAGATCACATGTGGCTTGAAATTTACACAGAGAAAGGCAACCAGTCTTTTAGATAAACAGACAAATGCTAATGGTAAGTTCAAATTCAAAACATCTTTTTGCAGCTTATTTTCCAGATATGGACTGTATCATCTGGGGAGTGAATGGTGTTCACAACAATGTGTTTACATACTACATCAAACTTTATTAAAAAATTAAAAAGGTAAAAGACAAATATAAGGTAAAATTTTATCTCTCATTTTTTTGGTGGTTCTGGGCATGTGGGCTTCATCATTTTTTAAATTGGGGCATTTTTTAATTAAATTTGGGTTAACATGAAGTATTGGGACAAATTTAGGCCTCCTTTAGAAGTAACTGAGTATTGCATTTTTTTTTTGCTTACCTTGTCCATCCACCATCATGCGCAGGGTCCCCAGTAGTTTGAACTGGACAGGGGGCATGTCAGAGCGCAGCAGTGTCCTGATCCTCTCGCTTACCCCATCCTCCAGCATGCGCACTTTATTTGATGCTGGAACAACAGGAACACAAACACATCTGTGAGCCTCTAGCCAGAGCTCAGCTTGAGTGCTATTAGTGTGATTAGATTTAGAAGAGATCAGGTTCACATTGTGCTGATAATCTTAAGGTTTCTGTTAATGCAACCAGCAAACACTACCTGTACTATGTTAGTATACAACTAGAACAAAGCTTCATTTATTATTCTGAATGTTTGTTCGAACAGAATCATTCCTAAGCAGAGCTGAAATTATGAGTGGCACATTGCAGTTTAGTTCAATTTTTCACGCTCTTCATGCATTCTGAACTTGGAATGGCAGTACTGTAGCAACCTAACCTCTATGTGCCTCATCTGTAGTGACTGGTCAATTACCATGGAAAGTAACTTTGATGTGCTGTGGAAATGAAAACCTCAAAAACAAACTTTTAATAGAAGCTAATAAGCTGAATTCTTTCAGTAAACATGTATGCCAAATGTCAAAGACGGGACTAGGTTTCCAGAGGGAAGAATATTTGATAGGTCAGTGTGAGTGTAGTGGTGTAAGTGGACTATTCAAAGGCTCTGCCTGGTGACTCATGGATACCAAAAAACCTTATGGAAAACCAAAGTAAATAGAACTGTTTTTTACTATGTTGCTCCTTTGTTCAAATATTTAGATAAAACTTAATATAAGAACAGCTTTTGTAAGACATTATTTCATGGCTGTTTCATCCTAAGACCATTATTAATGTGTATTATAGTGTAATGGTTGTAGTTATGAATTTGCATTCCATGACAATGTATTTCAAATATTTATTCACAGAATTCAGCAACTGCCTGCTGGCTTCTATTAGAAGCAAAGTCCTTATACAAAAGTCTGTCCACATCTGTCCATCTGGCTACAGCGCAGGCACATCAGAGCATGTGAGCAGTGCGGAGTGATGTGATTTTTGCTCAGCACACAACTTTTCAGGAAGTCGGAGCATCAGCGTTTTTTCTTGCTCTGAAATCACTCCAGTATCGCTCCATCCTGTGAGCCAGACAGTCTGTTTTTCCACATTGACTAACTCTGTGTGAGAGTGATGCGGCAGTTGCACTGATGGCCAGTTATACATAGTGTTTTTGCTGTGGAGCAGTTCAGCAGACCTACAATAAATTGGAAACAACTGGAAATTCTCACTGATCGCAAAGTTCTGCAGACATTACACAGAGTCAGTCTTGTGTCATCCATTTTGCTGATGGTGTTAAAAGCATGTGTGTTTATTTACCCTCAGCAGATTTATAAATTGGTCCATCACTTCAAGCCTAAACCTTCCAAAAAAGCCTGCGTAGCACAGAATGTTTAACTAGTTTTTCATCCACTAAAAGTCCAAATAATTACATAATTCATGAAATAAAGTGAGTAGTGTCTTGTACATGCATTCAAGACCTAAAATAAATATCCTAAGAATGGATCTATGGAGCAGACATGGAGTGGGGTTTGTCTGACATGTGAGCTGGAAATAGAAAATTCAGAGCAGAACTGGAGTGGAGTGATTATAGAAATGCTCTGAGCAAGAAGCGGAAATGTCTGCCGCTCCACTCCACTCACATGCTCTGAAGCGTACATCTCCACAACAAGGGTGAGCTTTTGCCACTTGCAGCTTAACCAGCAAGCTGACTGGCTCATTTTATTGACACCATGTTGAGCATTATAAGCCTTTCTATTCTTTTTGAACCAGTGACAGGTCTCCTCCTTCATTATGTCTCTGTTAGAAGTGAGTTTTGAGTCAATGGGTTTTTATGTTCTTGTACAGGAAGATGCAAAAATTATTGTCTGTGGTAATCAACAGTGTGAGACAGATGCAGCAGATAGAGATTAGCTTGAAAAAACTGCAACATTTCCTTAACAGTGACTGGAATAGTTTGAATTTAAGGTCTAAACACTGGGTGTGAGTGAGGTCCCTGGGGCTACAGGTGGGTGCAGGCCCTATAAGTATACTCTATATGTATGAAATCAGTATGCAACACGAAACAACTGAGTTCCCTCCTAAAGCATCACTCTCAATCTGCATTAATTACCATCAGGAATTAGTTGCCAGCAAGACATCAGTCTAATACTAACTCTGCATCTAGGCCATAAGCAAACTGATGGGATAATGTTAGCTCATATTGACGCCGCAGAACGTAGTGAACTAAAAGTCAAAGTCTGCAACTTGCAAGTCAGATGCATTAGATACAGCCACCAATCAGCATTTGAATAAATCTGGCCAACGAACAGTCACAGATATAAATGATGTGTAAAAAACACATATAAATGACATACGTAAAAAATCATGAATATGTGTGAGGGGAAGGGGAAGGAAATAAATGAATAAATCTTTAAAAAAAACAGCCAGTCAGAGGCACTAAATTACTTCGGGCCCCTAGACTTCAGCCCAGGTAAGCCCATGCATTAACACGCCTATGGTGAGGTCAGTAGTGTGCTGAGATAATGACGTACGATACCTGGTATGGCGAGATTTCTGAGAGCACTGAGGCCTGCATGCTGCACAGACACATCACCCTCATCTACATGATGCTCCAGCAAATCCAGGATGTGAGGAACCACCCCTAGTTCCATCATCTTCACACAGTTACTGTCTGAAAGAGTGAAAAAGCAGTAGAGGAAATCCAAGAACAACATGCTGATCTTGTTGGAGACAGAATGGCATCTTGCCAGTGTAACTGTGTCAGCTGAAGTATGCCGTTCTCTCACCATTCCTGGCAAAGTTGGCGATGGCCAGCGCTCCAGACAGTTGAAGCTGAGTGTTAGAAGACTGCAGCCAGGACAGAACATCCTGATATATGCTCCCTGTCCCCTCTCCAAAACACTTCTGCATTGATTCGTCTAGAACACAGTCAGTCAGCTAGATAAAGTGCAGCATAAATTAATAAGGCTTACGTTTGTTTCATTATTACAGCTGCAAATGATATTTTACTTGTGGTGTAATGTTTTAACTTGCATCATATTGTGTTAGTAACCAATAAAATTGTTGCGTTCTATATAAAAGTGTATAAAAGTTACTTGTAATATGTCAAGGACTGAGAAAAAATAGTTTATACTCATTACACTGAATATAAAATGTAATTCCAACCTATAAACCAAGGATATGGATGTTGATGACATTTCAGAACTGTACTAACACTGCAGGACTGTACACGGAAAAAATCAGCAATTTGTTTTGTATGTTTACCTTGTTCATTTGCTAACAAAGCCCTGGGAAAACACAGCTTGTTTATGTAAGCTCCAGTATTAAGTACTGTAGTAAGTACTACTTTAACAGAAATGTGGGGAATGTAATGACAACAGAGCTTACCCCCCAGCAGCAGCGTCACTATGAGGTTGGAAGCTATTTTTATACTGCAGAGGTCATGTGGGTCAGAGTCACCCTGCAATTTGCGAATCATCTCAGAGAGAGCGTCAGGCACCCCCGCCTCTACAAACTGGAGCTTCAGGGCATCTGAGGCACACACATATATATACACACAAACATTCTTTTAGTAAAAACAGTAAAAAGGACTGTGTGAAAGTTAGAGACCACCCTTCATTTGTTTAATGTCCAGGCTAAAGGGTCATTAAGTACAAGTTATTCATTTTTGTGAGAGGATATTACAGATAACATAATCTACTTGCATCAGGAAGGAAAAGGTCAAGTATAATTTATCACCGTCAAACAAACAGCGTTTAAAGCTTTCATTTTTGAAAGATAGGACAAAAATCCAACTCTGCTTTTGATTCACATCTGAATATCAGAACATCAGAAAATCCACAGGTGTTTCTATCCATCCACTGTGAGAAGACAACTCAATGCTATGAGTCTATAAGGATACTGTCAAGAAGCCGTTACAGAGAAAAAGATGTTTGCAAATCAAACAAAGGAGCTTCTGGTGTTCTCAGAATAATGGACTGGACACCCCAGATACCTCAACTTCACTGAATGTATTTGGGATTACTTGGATCGTGCGAAGCATTAATGCCACCAGCTTCTAAGACTGAACCTTGTAGGTGTGGAAAAATATCCCCACAGATTTCTTTGAAAAACTGATAGCAAGTCTCCTGAAAAGAATGGAAGCTGTAATAAAAGCAAAGGGTGGACACACGAAATACATTTAATTGATGCTTCTGTGTTATTGTCTGTTAAATATATTTGTTCAGCTTTTTTTTCCTGACGTTGAAAAATGAATAACTTGAGCTTCATGGTCATTTTGACTGGAAATTAAATAAAGGTGGTCTTTTTTGCACAGTACTGTACATCTTGCCATTTTTTTCTGATTTCTTCTAACACAGATAGAATGTCTGAATATCTGATTCATCTCTAGTAATTATGTTTTTCCCTCTATAAGCTGAAAGTGATAGCTAGAAAAAAATCTTATTTAGTGTTTCTCACCACTGTGCCTGGAAACCCACTGCCCTGCACATTTTAGTGCTTTCCACCTTTACCTCAGTAATGAGCTGGTTGGATCAGGTATGTTGGGAGCAAGGAAAACACTAAAAAGTGCTTAGAGTTTATAAACACCGATCTAATTCACACAATTGTCTCTTTCCACAAATATACTTGAGTATATATTTGACTAGCCAAAACATATTTGGCGTCCAAAGTTTGTCCTTAGTTTTGCTAAGGAGAAATTAAGCTATAGTAGCAAGCTTAGACCCCCCCAGTTAGCATCATGCAAATGTGTCTAGATCCATGTCCATGTCTAGATTATCATGCTTGCATCAAACCGTGTTGAGTTGTTAGATTTGTTTATGCAGTTTCTGACACTGTATGACATACTGTTATCTATAAAAGTGAAAAAAAGTACTATAAACAGTATTAGCAGCCATCTTGAAGCCCTAATTTTGTCTATATGTTTGTTTGTTTTGTTTTAGATAACAGTAGGTCATATAAGCTTGTCTATTTGAGACCACAATTCGATGCACTTTAAAGCAAGCATGTGATGATTTAGTTTTGCAGTATGCATGATGTTAGCTGGCCCTTCATTACTTGTTGGCCATGAGGAAAGTATGTAAATTTGCTTATTTTTGAACCAGTGTGTTCCATCGTAATTTAAACTCTTGGTGATTGATAAATTAGCCATACCCAAAACCGTGTGTAAAGGATAAAGTTGAGTTTGGAACAGTAGCTGTGATGTGATCGTCTTACTCACCACTCTCTCCCAGCGACCCCAGCACCTCCAGAATAAGGTGGCGGCGCTCTGCATCTGGGGCCCTCTTTAGCTGGGTAGTCAGGACCTCTGCCACGCCCACCTCTGCTAATGCGTCTTTTGCTGCATCTAAACACACATAAAGGTTTTGTAGGTTCTTAATGTGTTTATGCATAGACCAGGAATAGAAAACTCAAATACTGGAGGGCCACAAGACTGCAAAGTTTAGCATTCATATGTCTTTTAACAAAGACAGATTTCCACTATGGTGAACAATAAAGTTAATCTGATCTAGTTTAGTTTATATATGTCCAAACATTTGTAAACACCTGCTCATCCAACGTTTCTTCTGAAATGAAGAGTATTAATAGGGAGTTTGTTCCATTGAGCTGCAGTAACAGCCTCTACTCTTCTGAAAAGGCTTTACACTAGATGTTGGAACATTGCTGTGTGGACTTGATTGCATTCAGCCACAAGATCATTAGTGAGGTCAGCTGTTTTAGTTCTGGATCACAAACGTCACTCCAGCTTATCCCAAAGGTGGTGGATGGAGTTCCATCACACCAGAGAATGTAGTTCTACTGCTCCACAGCCCAGTGCCGGAGTGCTTTATACCCCTCTAGCTGATGTTTACCATTGGCCATGGTGACCTTAGGCTCATATGCGGCTGCTCCATTGTGCCCTAGTCTATTGGCAGTGCTTTTTTATGCCAATAATATGAGCTGTGTGTATACAATTGAACGCTTGTGTCAGCACCTTAATGTAGCTCATTAGAAGGGCTGTCTGGATACTTTTGGACATATAGTGAATGAGGATGACAGAAGAGGTCTGCAAGATCAGGTTAACCATGTGCAGAAAAAGTCTGTCTTCAAGTGTGTCTGTATTTTTAAGCTCTGTAATGCCTTAAGAAGCCGCTAAAGTGCATTGTTGCTCCCCCTCTCTCACCCATATCAGCGAGGTTACACAGGGCCAGCAGGCAGACGTTGACCAGCGGGTCATTCTCTGGGTACTGGTGCATGATGGCCACCAGCCTGGGGATAACACCGCTCTTCACCAGCTGAGTCTGCTGCACAGCTGAGAGAGGGAAAGAAAAAGAGAGAGAGTGTAGAGGATTAAAAGTGAAGAAGTAAGAAAGCACAATATTAAAAATACTCTTGTGTGGGAAGGGAGAAATGAGAGGAAAAGAGCAAAAGGTAGAGAGAGAAGGAGAGGCAGTAAATGAAAATCAGAAGAATCGAGCTGAGGCAAGACAGGAGGGAATGAACAGTATTTGCAATGTAAAATGTTTGTTTTCCTGCAGTGAATGCGTCTCTCTGTCTTCTTTCAAACAATAGCCTATTAGCTTAGGAACAAACATGCTCACTGTTGTCGAAGCAGATGCGGCCGATGGCTCGGCCGGTGTGCAGCAGCAGGTCTTGGTCAGAGCTGTTCAGCAGAGGAACCAGAGCGGTCACCAGCCCAGCCTCAATGCACCTCTCTCTCACAGCAGCTTCAGGATGGGCACATATCAGCGTCAGCTTAATACACGTGTACAGTACAAATCCAACCATTTTAGAGTAAATACATATGACCCCCCTAAAGGAATAATGAGGTAAATGTATAGTTTACCCCTTACCCCAACTGCAGTCAATTAGCCAAGACATGTTTCTCCAAAGTTTGTTACTTTAGCTTTGCACTGGAGCAAGTGAACGAGTAATAGAAGTGTATGTATGCCAATTAGCATTACACATGATCGCACACATCATCACATTCTTGCTTCAAACTGTTATGAGTTGTTAGGTAATGTCAAATAGACTTGCTTATGTGGTTACTGTGGTTATGTGATACTGAGTGGCATAGGAGGGGAAATTGTGTGTTTTTTGTTAGTTTTTTTTTGGTTGTTACTTATATATTTATTTTGACAAAGCCACTTTTACAACAAGAAGTATTTATTCTCTAAACCACTTCCCTGCTGAAACAAAACGGTTTGTGCTGGTCTGGTGCTGGTTTAGCTGGTCACCAGCATTCCAGCACCCAAAACACAATATATGCTGGTCTATGCTGTTTTTTCTAGCAGGGTTTATTTAAGATTCTTTCACTGTGACATGAAAATACATGTTACATGTTTTATTGATTATCTAAGTGAAAATATGTTAACACATCCTCTACAGAGAACACTCTTATACACATTTTAAAGGGATATTCTACAGATTTTTTAAACATTTCTGCATAATTCAGTGGATAACATTTAAACAGACTAGTTCAGAGTGGTTTTAAGTAAAAGAGTTCATTGTGGAAAAACTTACAGACTCAGATTTTTTGCAGTGGTGGTGATAGGAACCAGAGGTCACGATGTCTACGACACAAATATAGCCATTTTGTTTACTATTCAAAACAACCAGTGAACCTACATATGCCTTCTGAGTGATATGTCTTCTGAGTTTATGTGTATAATGTTGATAATGGCAAAGTAGTGGTAAATCTGAAAAAATAAGTTTTCTTTGGGGGCCATTTTGATTTACAGTGCCTCCACTGTTAATGGATTAAAAACAAATGAATAAATAAATTTGGGCAAAATCTTTTCATAACTATTGTAAAGCTATGTCTCAGACATCACATCAGGCATTGTATTCATAACTATTTCATGTAACTACTTTCTGTGAGCTTGTTTTAAACTCTTAAGACATCTGGTTCCCATCACCACCACTACAAACAATTCTGACTGGGTAAGTTTTCTTTAGAGCGGAGCATTTCACCCCAAACCTCTCTGAATGACTTTGTTTACATCTCAATTATTTATATATGTGAAATTAGGAAAAACTGGCGGAATTCCCCTTTCAGCTTCTGTAGGCATGTGCAAACGTTATGGTACATTTTATGTTTTCATGTTTTTTTACAGTAAGTTAAACTCAGCAGATGAATAGAAATTATGCACCAATTACAGAAAAGTGCCATTTTACCCATGTTGACTAGTAGAGGATGTATATTAACTTTCATTTCAAATAAATAATACATGCAGTTTGACCGGGATTTTTCAAACTTTTGCATATGACTGTAAATAGCATTCTGCATATTAATCAAATTATGACTTCATTCCTGATGTTATAGTTCTTTCTTTCTCAGTCATTTTAGAACCATAACTCCAACTCGATTCATCATTCTGGACATGTTATGTTATATTTTTATACTTTTTTTACAGATTTGTAGCTTCCTGCTTTGTAGCTGCACAGGACTAGCACAATTTTTACACTTATCCAAAGATAACCTGGCTTTATGTTATTGAAAACATTGATTCAAAACATGGTAGTGTGGACTGTATTTCTCCAACACACGCTCTGCGCTGACAATGACGGTTGTTCAAGTTACCTTCTCTGGCCATCTCAGCCACCAGCAGAGCCACCTGTGATATGAGTGAGCCTTTATTCCTCAGAGTCTGGGCCAGGGTGGGCAGGACTCCACTGCAGGCTATCTGCTCTGCAGTGCCCTTTTCTGAGAGGAGAGCAGAACATTTGACCATAAGGGCACTGTGTAGATGAAAAACATGTCCGTGTGGTGTACATCTCAACATTTTGAATGAAATATATCAACATGTTGTCAAACGTAAACTGAAACACAGAATTCCTTTTATTCCTGTGGGAATGACGAATAAAGGAAAATTCGAAGTGTTCATTCACACAAACAACTACCCAAACACAGACTACCCAAACATGGCCTCTTGGCAAGCAAAGACTTACTTAACCCTTGTGTGGTGTTGGGGTTTGTGGAACCCCTTTTTAATGTTTTAATGCGATTTATTATTATTTCAACCTTAGATTCCTTGGCCTTTGCTCATTTTCTGTGAAGAACATATAGTTACACATTTTCAATGACTTCACACTGTACACGCCCTACACATTTATGTTACACATGTGGTGTTGGCCACGGAGAATAAAAGTGTGGAGGTTCTGTGTCCCTTCACCCTTCTCCTCCTACATGGCCTGCTGTTAGTGTGTGTGTGTCTGTGTGTATGTGTTTGTTTATGTGTGTGTGTGTGTGTGTGTGAGGGAGGACAACATGGTTAGGCTGCTGACTGGCTACAGCTGCTAAAGGAGAACCCTACGCTGGCCATTTGTGATGTTTTAAACATCTGGTATTTTACATAAATTGTTATGACTGTATTCATTTAAAAAACCAATAATGTGGTGGGTCCAGCAGACCACTGAGTAACAAAAACATCAACACCACACAAGGGTTAAATCTCTAGAAATATATTAAATAATTTTATAATATCTCATAATATTAGATGACTAGATTTGAGATTATTTCACTTGCCAAGATATCATATCTTTCTCATATGCATCTAAAATGTAAAACAACCGTACAAGACTTGTTAGCCAGCGAAAACTGTCACCATCAAATAAACAGTTCTTTCATCTTTGAGAGAGAGAAGAAAGTCAAGATCCACTCTTGCATCAGATCTGAAAAAATCCACAGGTGTTTCTGTCTGTCCTTCCACTGTGAGAAATTTCTGTGTAATTTTCTGTTAAATATAGATTTTTCTGCTTTTTCTCTGATGCTGAAAAATTAATAACTTGTGCTTAAAGGTCCTCTTGACTGGGAATTAAATAAAAGAAAGTGTGGTCTCTGACTTCTGCACAACCCTGTATATTTGTCTCAGAAAGAAATTTCATTTGCATGTAAGCAAAAGCCTTTTGATCAAATTGTCTTTAAGATTATAAAAATACACATTCAGTTAGGTGTGTCCAAACTTTTGACTGGCTGTGTACATAAGTAGAATGACTATAAAGTTGAGTATATGCATGTATGCTTGAAAGGCTGATACTGTCACAGTGATTATCTATCATGTGATGATGAACAGAGACTCTGGAAGGCTCTTGTGAGCAGGCGTCAGCGTGCTGAAAGCTGGAGATGGAAGAAAAGCTATAGGCTTTACAAGTAGGCTTAGGTGCTCAGTGTGTCTGCTGCTGCCAAATTAAATCAATAAGCAACTTCTTTCTAACTTTCCTCTGCTTTCATCTTACAGCGGCTCTTTCATCTGCTGCACTCTTCTCTACTCTCTGCTGCACACGCTCCTCACTGTGGCAGTGGGCTCTCAGTGGGATCCACTCAAATCTGCTCCAGCTCGAGCTGAGGGGGATCTCTCATTACAGCGTGAGAGAAACTCCAAACAGCCGCGGAGGCAGGTCAAGCTGTCAGAGCAGGGCCGTGCTGCCATGGCAACATCTGCGTTGGGCTCTTCCGAGGGAGCCTGTTTCCTTCCATTTTTAGACGCGTTTGCCATCTAAAATCACTAAGAATGTGACAGCCGGTAACATCTGCTACAAATTAATTCGTGCTGGAGGAGAATGCAAGGAGAGGAGGTGAGAAAAAAAAAGTTTACAGGTGAGTTTAACCCCTTCTCTACTCACTCGCACTGTCTCTCACCCTTTCTCTCTCTCTGCCTCTGTCTCTCTCATTGTCTCTCTGTTTCTCTCTATCTCTTTCTCTCTCTGTTTCTCTCATTTCTCTCTATATATCTGATTCTCTCTCTCCCTGCTTTTCTCTCTCTCTCTCTCTCTCTCTCTCTCTCTGTGTCTATGTCTCTTTCTCGCTCTCTCTCTGTGACAGATGTATAGGCAGATTACTTGTCTCTTATATCCTGTGTATCCCAGGTCTGCTGGTGAAGAGCCAAGCCACCTCAATGCTGCTCACTTCAGCGGATTTTGTTTACTCAAACACACACACACAGCTTCATTAGTTCATGACCGGATTAAAGTGTCATGTGTGTGAGTATTTACAATCTGTCTGTAACACACAACACACACACAATATGATCATGTCTTTTATAGCCACTGATCTTCACCATGTTACACTGAGCAGAAGGATGAATGCATGCAAAGATGGATGGATGTGGTTATGGATATGGATGTTATTATGGTTGTGTATGTGGATATGGTCACGGTTATGGTTATGGTTATAGTTATTAACATGGTTATGGGTATGGTTATGGGTATGGGAATGGTTATGGGAATGGTTAGGGTATGGTTATAGATATGGATATGGATAGGTTATGGGTATGGATATGATTATAATTATGATGTGGTTATGGTTATGGATATAAATATAGATTTAGATTTGGATATGATTTTGTATAGATATGGAGCTTATTTTGGATTTATATCATTTAAGCCTTTCTGAGTTTCTGGTGTTTATTTGAGAAATTTGACAGTAGAGAACTGATAGAATCATGTATGACATCTGACAGTCACGTCAGTCAGTGGAGTATCTTTAGCTAAGACTAATGGAGTCATTAATTTGTGATCTTATAACATAATATTAGCTGATAATATTTTTATCATGTGATAATTATCAGAATGTTCTCTTAAGCTCTCTAAAGCTCCTTAAAATCAAGATTTTCAGTGACAGAATTTTCTAACTGGCGGAGCTCTGATATGGATATGATATTGATATGAATGCAGAGACTCACTCTTCTCCAGTAGGAGGTTCAGCAGGGTGTCCATATGAGGCTTCAGTTCCTCCTCTATCAGCTCTGTGCTCACACTGATAGCCTTCAAAGCTTCAGCCAGAGAGTCTGAAAACAGCACAGGCAATGTGTTTAAATTCAAGAGTTATCCACCCAGTCCAGTTCACTTTTACCTTCACACATGAAAATAAAGGTTTCTAAATGGTTTTTGGTCTGGACATACAGTTATAGAAAAAAAACCGGTACAATGTAAAAATTTGTTGTTTCAGCTAAACCTTAAAAACTAATAAACTTTGACCCCTTAAATAGCCAGGGCCCATCAGCGAGCCCAAGGTTTTATTACACTCTTCTATAACCTAAGAATAGTGTAACCAGTTTGCTTGTACTTCCAGTAATTACTGAATAATAAGCCTTAGTATGTAATAGGCCTGGGATTTTTAGGGATTAACTTTAAAAGTAAGGAACCAGGCTACCCAGTCAATTAACTAAAAATGTATACTTTGGAAAGGTTCTTCACATTTGCATGTGTCATTACAGAACCATCTTTGGTCTTTACAGAACCATCCACTGAAATGGTTCTTCAAAGGTGGTTCTTCTGTCGCATCACTCCAAAACATTCAGCTCCATTTGGCACCTTTGTTTTTTTTTAAAATGTTGGACAGGATATCATACAATCATGAGAATGCCTGTTCTTGTGTGTGTGCATGGACTGTGAATGGACTACACTGAAGCAAATATTTTAAAAGGTAAATCAAACAGAAATTGCTCTGTTCCTCTCAATACACAGTGCAACAGTCCGTCTGAAATTCTGTCTTTCACTTATCACTGAGATATCACACAATGCCTGTTTCCATCTCTGGGGCGTGAGAGTGAAAGGAGATGGAAATCAGACAGATAGAAAGAGAGCAAGTGGTTCAGTTTCTGAATGCATATCATTGCTGTTATAGCAGAAACTTACACAGTAACTATAAATGGTAACTTTAGAAGGGGCAGCATGTGAAATGTTTACATATACATGATATATAAGTAATATATACATAAGTTATAAAATGCACAACATATTAAAGCCTTGAGAGAGAGAGACAGATAGAGAAAGTGAGGCTGAGAGAGAGAGGGAGAGAGAGTGTGTAATCGCCCTGATAATCCCTGGTAAGAAGAGTGAAAATAGAAATACAGAGCAGGGGGCTATTAGGATACAACTTCAACATCACAGCAGGCTCTTAACACTTCAAGCCTCCTACATGAACACCTACACACTGACATTTTCCCTCGTTTCACAAATCTCAGCCTTTTTTCCTCTCTCAAATGAACTTAGTGAATAAAAGTGAGTGACAGACCCCCCTGAGGATGTCATTAGCCAGGGCAGGCTGGCTCTCAGCATGCCCCACTTTAAACACTCACAGGCTGGAGCTAAACTCCCCACATAGACCCCCCCAACACCACCACCACGCCCACCTGGGCAGCTATCACAACTTGAATGTGACCTTTTCGAGATGAGGCTGAAGAAAAAAAAAACACGAGAACAGTCTGGGGTGGCTGCCTCTGAGCTGCGGCTATTCTCAGCTGCTTTGTCTGTAACATGGACCTAAACAACACAGAGCATCACATCCATGTCCTGAGACAGACATGCTGCTACAGCACACTAGCTCAGTTTTACAGCAGAGAACTGATTAAGCATGTTAGGGACTCACCCGTATCTGCCATGGCTGCTGGTAGACTGAGTGTTCCTCAGTGTCTCCCCGTGTCTGTCTGTCCGTCTCTCTTTCCCCCTCTCTCTCTCACTCTCTCTCTCTCTCTCTCTCTCTCTCTCACTCACACTCGCTCTGCAGCTGCGTGTGGTGTATAAGAAGAGAGGCAGCCCTCCCTCAGGCAGGACAGCAGACTCCAGCCTCTAGATGCTCTTGAGTCAGCACAGCCACACTGATCTCGTGCACTGATGCATGTGTGCGCATTCCTCCTCTCTCTCTCTCTCTCTCTCTCTCTCTCTCTCTCTGTCTCTCTCTATCCCTTGCTCTCTCCTTATTCCTGCCGTTTCACGTCATTCCCATTCACCGCTTCTCCTCCACACACTCTCTCCCCTCTTGCACTCCTCTTTCTCTCTCTTTTCCACTCCCTCCCCCACCTGCTCTCACATTTGAAGGCAGGCTCACCCTGCCTCTCTCTCTCTCTCTGCTCATAATACTCTGTAAATCCTAAAGCTGCCCAAAGCTCATCAGTCGACAATTAGCCTGCAGACAACAGCGGAGCTGAAACACAACCTTCAGGCACTCAGCAGTGATCCTCATCACTCTACTGTTCCCCTTCACACACACACAAACATCTCGCTCCGTGTCAGCACCAGGGACAGCAGCTCTAGTGGGTGGTCCTCAGAGACTGACTGCAGTCCAGTCCAGCATCATACCACTGTCTCAGCAGTGAGGGTGAACACACACTTCAGGACACTGTTTAGTCATGAGTTGAAACAATAGAAATAAAACAAGGAAATGGTTGCCTAGTGTAACAATGAATGAATTGGTTTAGGCAGGTCTTAAGTAACTTAGAACAGCACATGTGTAACCTTTTAAGATTCCTATTATGTTATTAATCTTAACACTTCAAATTCTTGGTTTATTATTCAGTTATTAGTATTGCTTACAAATGGAGGTGTTGTGGCAGGATGTATATACGAGTTAGGAGCTTTATAGAAATACAGAAAAACACTGAAACAAGCTTAACAGGCGTATATACCGATGCAGGACCAGACAAGGTAATAGAGAAACACAAGCGCTACCTTTACAGCAAACAAGACTATAAACTACTCTAAAAAAAGAAAACTTGAAATTTGAAGTCAAACATCTGCATAGCTTTCTTTTTCCAATTCAATTTTAGTCCAAAGTTTTTCTAACTTACATTTTTAGTGCTGCATTAAAGTAAAATGTTATAAATAAAAGATAAATTCAATTTTAGCAAAGAAAAACGAAAAGTTAGACAGTCAACAATCGTCAGTCAGCCATCATCAACAAAGCATCAATTAGTCTGTATAAAAATTGGCCATCAGGGTAGTTAGCAATCAGTCATATAATTATGATGATGCTGTATTTAAAAGTTAGCATTTCACTGTTGTCAGAACAAAACCTCATATCTCCATTCCATTTTTTCAGTTTCAGTTTTTGACATAATTTGAAAATGCCTGTTTTCAAATTATTTGATACGAGGTTTTATTCTGACAGCAGTGATATCTTGCTCTGATATGCTAATTTATGGAGCAAACAGGTGAGGGAATGTGTGCTGGGTCCCTTTAGCAGTGCTGCTCTGTGCGTTGCATTATAAAGTAGGCTGTGAGGTGGTAAGAGAAGTCAACTATAAAAATCAGCTCTAATCGCTTATTATGCTAACTAATCACTTTTTACAGTTGAACACATGCATAGCTTTTCTTATACAGCGCTGTCTGGCTAGCTTTCTAATCATTTGACTCTATAACCTGTAGTAAGGGCATTTTTAATTAATAACTCCTTGGCCTGTCTATATGAAATGTTTTATTAAAGTTAATATGGTGCACTGAACAAAGGTGATGCATTCAATCTACTTGATTGAAATACACTGTTTCCTCATGACTGACTAAAATGTGTTACATCAACATAGTTTTGTGAATACCTGTATTGATATTATTTTATTGATGTTAAAATGATGGATTGCTTTAGTACAGAGAACAAATAGCACAACACTTTTTATGTCAATTGAATACAGTAATATTGTTTTATTTCGAATTTTTTCCAAGCAGTGTGCCACGCCGATAAAATCTCTGGGTCTCACCTGCCCCCCATTCTAAAAGTTCTAGCTACACCTGAATACCTGAATAATCTGCAACAGATAAAGCTCAATATGGTGTTAAGTATATAATATTGGTCACTCTCAATTTAGGCGCTGCAGAATTGTTTTTGTTGAGCTGAACTAATTTGTTTTGATTTTTAAGTACAGTGGTCATACTGGGTCTTCTGCCAGAGATACTTAAATAATAAATGAAGCTGTTCTGATTGTCTTTGCCATTTCATACCTGAAACTATGCAAATGCTCTCTCACTAACAGAAACAGTCAATGACTTAGAAATCATTTTGTGACAGTATTTGCAATTTTACTAATAACTTTGTTGTTATATGTTTGTTGCAAATGTTGTCACTGTCCAAAATTTGTATTCATCATTTTTATTTCTCTACATCATTTGAACTTGGCTACTGTCCTTTACATTGTGTGAACATTTAATGATGATTGGACCAATATAAATGCTCCACAATTACTTGAAAAACAAACTCTCTACATTAACTTACATTAAAACCTAAGAAAGTTTTTGCCTTCTCCTGCAAAGTTACCATTTTGGTGATAAATGTTTTTCTTTGGCCAGTTGTGATATGATGCATGTCACTCAACATATGCTGTCCTGAACTGGACACGTGTTAAAACAGGCACATGTTAAACGTGTTAAAAGTAGCAGAAGTGTGAGGTGGGACACTATGTGTTGTTTTTAACACATCTGCTTTGAAAGTACACACCCATAACCAACTATTCTAGATTCATTACACATGAGAAGAACTGTTCAAGGCTGAACTGTCACTCTGAAGTGAATCTGATTGTGTGTATATAAAAAAAAGCAGGGGTCGACGCTGCATGTTGACTGGTACCCCTGGCCACAACATTTCACATTTTGGCAACTTAAATCTCTAAACCTGTAGCCCAAGTAGTAGGCTAACCAACTTTTGATTATGTGTTTATGTTTTAGCTGTGGTATGGTCGGTTGCTAGGTAACAAACATGACAGTTGATTGTTGACTTTGAGTTAAGATTTCCTAACTTGAGATGAAATTAAGTTTCCTTAATTAAGATAACATTTGTTTCTATAATATAAATTTGTGAAAAATCCTATCTTGACCTGTCAGATCTCACATTAAAACAAAAAGATAGGAAGTTCCTGTAATACGGCCCCTGGTCTATAACTGTTTCGTCTGAATTTCAAGTCAAGGCCTTCTGTTTGGGCTCCTTTGATGCAGTTTTATCCCTTGACTGATGTATACTGAAGCCTGAAGGATAGTCCTGCACTCCAACACAGTACAGAAATCAGAATGCAGTAAATATATTTGTTTCTGAGTATTGAAGTTTTTGTTTTTTGTTTTTTTTTGGGGGGGGGGGATGTACAGTACATCACATTGAAATTTATCTCAGGAACAAGAATAGGTTCCATATTGTGATATTGTTACACTTTGGCACATTCTAAAGCTATTTACAGTAAAAATACAGCACTAATGAAGGCTGAAAACTGTTTCTTGTTCAAGTTTTTCTTGATTGCTAAAACACATTTAACAACACTTGGGTTGACTTCATCTTCAGTATCACTTTCTATGCAAAACAAGAAGAAAATTTAGTGTTTTATTAGTTTACATTCTTGTTACAGTTTTTCTTAACACTGAAACACACTTTAAATTACACTTTAAGATGTAGTGTTTGATGCAAGAGTTTGCTTTTGTGGCGTGTGTTTAGTGGTTTGTGAGGATCAGTCTGTTTTGCAAAGAAACTGTGTTTCTTTTGGCCAGCAAGCCTCTGTTTAGTGTTGTATATTAACTATTTTGAGACAAACAACTTCTGAATAGACAAAAGTGTTCAAGCAACACAAGAAAACTGCAATTTTAAATACAATGTGTATGCAGTAAACACGTTTCTATACTTCTGACCTCAAATTCTTCATTTGGGCCACAAGAGTAATTGGCTTGACCCGAGTGGCCAGTGCAAATGTATATATCTGTCTACCCCTGGTGGACAAGACAGGCAAGACAGAATGAGTGGAGAGAAGTGAAGAGAAAGAGTAGAGAGAAAGAGAAAGGGGAAGAGAGAAAAAGAGAGGAGTTAGTGTCTCCTGGACTGGTAGTGTCAGACAGTTAGTCAGCAGGTGGCGCTGTGCTGCTATCTGCAGCTCTCAGGCAGCACATTCTCAATGAATCCCAATGACTGGCTATAAAATTGTCCTCAGAAACCATTTAATTTTTATATGTCACTGTAACTGACCATGTTTCAGGTACTGGCAATTATCTGATGATATTAAATATTTGAAATGTTCTTTATTATGACATGACCTGATGGATGACCAAGTTCTGGCTTACTGATGTGTCAAAAAAAGTGTCAAGTTAAGCATTCCAGAAATCAAAAAGGAGAGTCTGCACTATGGATCACAATCTTCAGGATTTATTCTTATATTTGACAACATTATTATTATTATTTTGTTAAATATGGAAAATAAATCCTAATAATTGTGATCCATGAGGTCAGATTGTCTCTCCTCATACTGTGTGTGTGTGTGTGTGTGTGTGCGTGTGTGTGTGTGTTTGTGTGTGTGTGTCTTGTAATCAACCTCAGCTCTTCTGTCAAACAGAAACAATCACAAGACTCCCCTGCCGCCCTTCCTCCTGAGTAAATCCACACACTCAGGCTGCAGATCGCAGCGTCAGAGCTGAGGTCAAATGTTCATGTTTGTAAACTCAGATGACCTCACCAGAGGAGCTGGGCCATTCGTGCCCCCTACACCGGGCATATTTGTACATTTTCAAAACACTGCTAATTTCATGATTACAATGCACCCAGCCAATCAAAAAGGATTATAAGCAAACATTTTATCATTTCAGTTGAATTTAATAAGCTTTTTATCATCTTTGAGGTCAGAGGAAACGAATGTGCACTCCTCTTTAAACAAACTGACACTGAATACTTGTGATAACAAATAATTCATTTACTGAGTAGACTAAATTCTTGGAAAATGCAATTAAAAACAATCTAATCACAGGCAAAGCACGACATCCTGAAACAGAGGTACAAGAGTGAGTGGATGCCACAGTCTAAAGCTAAGTGTTCTCACTTCAGTTCATGTAGATTCCCTGTCTGCTGCAGTATAATGGAAGTATTACTCACGTTAATGCAGGTAGAGAAAGAGGCTCTGTTAAGATGAATGAGTTTATTAGACTTGTTTCAGTCTGTAAGATAAATAGTAGAAGAACTGGAGAGATGCTGGCTCTGTTTTTATGGCGTGCACATTTGAATAAAGGGAAATCCTTGAAACCATTAATCCTAAGGCCTGGCATGCCATAT